GTGCAGTGCCCCGTGGGGGACAGAGGCCCCGGGTCCCCAGGGGCCTCACAGGAGCCTGCGACCCACGTGAGGGGCTGGGGAGCTGAGCCTGAGACTCAGCCTTTGTGCACAGACGTGTCCGTTGGGACACACGTGTCTGTGTCTCAGATGCGCAGCGCACCCTCCTGTGGCTCCTGCCTGCGGACTGGAAGGCGCGCTGCCCCGGGGTGTGCCCTGTGTCCCCTGGGCAGGCCCGTTCCTGTCTTCATTGCAGGGTCAGGGAGGGAGCTGGGATTTCAGGCCTCTGGCCGCTCACCTAAGCTGCCCCTGGTCACACCCCTGCTCCCGTCTGGGGACCAGTTTGTGGCAATGAGGGAGGTTGGGATGGTTCCATGGTCCCTTGGAGGTTGGGTGAGTTGCTCCCTCTAGTCTGGGAGCAGGAGGTTCCCGGTGACCCCACCATGGGCCGTGACCCCGACCATGGGGCTGGTTCCATGGTCCTTGGAGGTCAGCAGAGTTGCTCCCTCTGGTCTGGGAGCAGGAGGTTCCCGGGGGACCCCCCCACGGGCTGTGACCTAGGTCAGAGGCTGGGCCTGAACCATGGTCTGTGACCCAGACCACAAACTGTGGCCCGAGTCATGATCTGTGGCCCGAGCCCTGGGCTGCCACCTGAATCCTGTGACGAGCTCCCAGTGGGCTCCGAGCCGGCACTGTGAACAGCCCGACTCACCGAACCTCCTGTCCCCCAGGGGGCGCCGTCGGGGGGCTCCTAGGGGCCTGGATGACCAGCGGGCAGTTTAAGCCGGTCCCTCAGATCCTCATGGAGCTGCCGCCCGCCGAGCAGGAGAAGCTACACAGCGGGGTCATGGCCCTCGTCAGGCACCTGCAGTGGACGGACGCCGTGCAGCTCACCATGCTGGTCATGGGCAGCGAGGCCCTGCAGGAGCGGCTGCTGGCGCTGCTCGTCGGCTACGTCACCAAGGAGCTGCAGGCCGAGGTGCAGTACGGAGACTAGGCTGGGGGGGGCACCGGACTCGGAGAGCGCCTGGGGGCCTGTGCTGGGTCCTGTTCTGGAAAATGCTGATGAAGACGCCGTGGGCGCGGCCCGTGGGGAGCTGGCGCCCGGCAGAGGCGCCTGTGGCTGAGGGGGACAGGTTCTGCGTCCATCTCCTGACA